AAGAGGGGGGGTCATCTCTGTTCACCCACCAGATCTGCAGCCCATTCGCAAAGAAGTAGCAGAACACACACGTATCTTTATTTGCCTCCTCAGCTTGCAAGGGGGTATCTGAACCAAAACCCTCCAGCAGCTCTGCACACTCTCCACTGCCTCGGCCGGCGGCTGAGTGACAGGGAGGGTCTCGGGGACGCCACGGAGGAGCACCCCTTTTGTGGGATCTATGGATCTCCTCCCTTTAGTGCCCCAGCTTCAGTCCACAGGGACACCACGAGGGCAGGCAGGGGACGTGGGTGGGGACTGGGTTCCTCGGGTGCTGGGAGCAGGTGAAGGTAGCTCCTGAGTAGCAATGCTGCTTCCACGGGGCAGGAGACAGAGCAGGACGCCTGGCACAGCTACGGGGAGGTGTTACCGACTTCCCTGCTGCGCCCAACGTTGCCGAACAAAGTCTCTCAGTGGTCTGGAGGTATTTCCTTTGGAGAGGAGGACTTGTGCAGATCTCCTTGTCCCAGATGAGCTCTGCTTAACAGAGAAAAGACTTCTGTTGCTTCCATAAAACACGCGAGAGCTTGTGCAAGATGCCTGGTCTCTGCTGACAACTTTTGTCAGTAGGTTCCTCCTCTCTAAAGAGAGGAGACGGCCCAGTTCCCAGGTGACTGGGAGGGTGCCACAAGCCGGGAGGGTGCTGGTGTGACCTGCTGCAGCAGGATGGGGGACTTCTGGAGAGGCAATTTGCTGGCTCTGGCCTGAAAGTGTCCGTGGGGAGAACATCAGCGTAAGACACAGCGGAGCAACCTGAGGGATGCTTTGGAGGGCACCATATGGTGGGTAGCTCTTGGCTTTGCAGTAAAAGGCAAAGCCGTGTGCGTGATTTCACCTGGTCCTCTAAGACTGGCGAGACCTCCAGCTGCTCGGTTTGTTGGCTCTGCTTGAAAAGCTCACGTATTGCATCGCTCTCCTTCAGTTTGACATCTTCCGAGTAGTTATAGCCCCGAGTCCTCCACGAGAGCCGGAGCGCTCTGCTGCGCCCAAGGTGCGCATGTTGGTTGTTTCACGCACGCCAGCGTCCGCACTGGGTGGAGAGGTCTGCTGCAGCCCCACGGCGCTGCCGCCTCCTGCCCCTTCGTTCGCTGGATCTGACGCTTGTCACCCATCTGACCGAACATCTGTGACTTGGCTGAGAGGGAGGGCGAGAGCTGGAAGGGCTCGAGGCTGGATTTCCGGAGGAACTGGAGGGAGCAGTGAATTCACTGCTAGCCACCCTCTGGGCTTGTTTCCAGACCTCTCCCTTCCCATGCAACGGAGGTAGCAGAGCCATACCCCAGCTGTCCAAACCGGGCTCTGGATCTCCTGCTTGTAACACGTTGAGCCTGGCTTTTGGCGGTGCTGACAGCCTGTGGGTTTCACAGGAGCGGTGCGTGCCCAGGCTTTTGAGATTTGGTTTTTTTGTGCAGAGCATCCAAAAGAATAGCTGCCTTTGGAAACCGCTGGGTCGTCTTCAGCATGTCGGTGTAGGGACCAGCCTGGGATCCAGGTGGCGGCTGTGTGGGGAAGCTCGCACAGATCTGGCTTCCTTCTTGCATGTTTAGCTGGGTCCGGTTTTACTGGTCATGGCATCCACTTGGGCCTACTGCTTCACATGGGCTTGAAAAGTTTGTGCCACCTTTTTAAAGCCCATTCCTTGCTATAGGTCTAAAAATAGAACAAACCCACACATCGCTCCCACAGTAGAGTTTTTTGCCTTGAAGTGAACCCACTGTTTGTCTAACCCACCTCTTTTTTGAGTTGTAGTTCCACTTTTTGTCCTCGTTTGTATACACAGATACGCGTGCGCACACATAATGACAACTAATGCATTTTGGCTTCCATTCATTCAAAGTGATCTGGTTTTTTTGAGTTTTTTTGTGTCTTTTCTTGCAGCTTCTGAAGTCGCCCCATAGTCGGTTGATTCCCCATCACACACCTAGTGCCTGAGTCTGATCCATGTTGGCCCTCCTAGTTCACCATAGATCTCTCATTTTGACTTAGCTGTCTGTTCAGTGGTGGTGACTTCTTGTTGTTGTTGTTGTTGCTGTTGTGCTTTTTTTTGTGGTTTTATTTATTTTTACTTTCTCCTGGGAGCTCGGGCCTCTCATAGCCGCTACTAACCTCTCTTTTGTTTATCCCCCACGCTCCTCGCCTCCCGCCAGATCAAAGTGGTGAATGCGTTCCGTAGCTCCTTGTACGAAGGCCTCGAGAAACCCGAATCCAGAAGCTCCATCCATAACTTCATGACTCACCCAGAGTTCATCCTGGAGGAAGACGAGCCTCGAACACCATTCCTTGATGGCGCTGAAGACGACCCCGAGACTGACGGACTCAAAAAGCGAGGTGGGGGTAGCCTGGGTGGATCTACATCCCTCAACAGAAATAACAATGCAGTGGACAGCGATCAAGCCGAGGTCACCGTCCCGGAGCCCGAAAGCCCCTTACACAGCTTGGAGACATCGGTTTGACCTTAGAACTTGGAACCCCCCCTCCTCCTCCACCTTCGCCCCTCGCCCTGTGTGATATTGGCACCAGTAACTGATCACACACTGCGGTCACTTCGTGTCAAACTGCTCATACGTATATAATTTTGGTGTTTTCTTTTTGGGTTGGTTTTTTTTGTTTTGTTTGGGGTTTTGGTTTTTTGGGGTTTTTTTACCATTATTTAGCAGTGGGAACCAGAGTACCACGATGCTTGGTGTTGGGAGAGAGGCTAAGCCAAAATTGTGCATCTCCATCCCTAATTTTCAGTGGTACTCGCCCAAGTGAAGCAGCCAGGTTATTTCCTCTCCAAGAGTTGGGCTCCATGCGTCTGTTGGGGGTTTTCACTTTGAAAAATGCATGTTCAAAGAACAGTTCAAATTGTTGTAGTCTTACATGCACGCTCTCAGCCTGAGGGCTGGGGTGCACTTGTGACTTTTATTTTTTTCCACTTGTGGTTTTTAGGGTTTTCTTCTAATGTTGGGGTTTGTTCTTAGCTTGTGGGATTTGCCCCCAGTAACTTCACAGTGGAAAGTGGGGGAATTAGCACTCTAGTGCAAAAATTTAAAAATAAACAAAAAATCAAAAAAAAAAACCCAACCCAGCCAGGGGGAAGGTGTTTACTCACAGCTTGATAGATACAGGGATGTACACCAGTCTTCCACCTTGCAAAATGGTACCTAGCCTTTACAGTCCGTCCTCTGTGTGTGCACGCACACTTTTCTCTCTGTTTCCAAAGCAGTAATTAGTAGACAAGGAACAAGTGACTTGGCTGTAACCTTGCTGGATGTGAAAGATTCTAATTTTTCTACAAAGCGAGGTGGAGGTGAACTGGCAGTGGAAGGGTGGTGAAGAAAAACCCCATGGTTGTGAGAAACAGGGCTCTTTCCCGGGGAGTCTTAAGAGATGCATCTCTTCTGCTCTTGAACAGCTGTGAAACTTTTGGTGAGAGCCTTGCAAAGGTTTAACGGCTCTTGCCATCAGGAGCAGAGGAACTTCTGCCCATTCTGGCTTGTCTGTACTGTTGGGTTAAATAATCCTTCAGCCTTGGTGTACAAACTGCAGTTAACTGCTGAGGAACCCCAGAGGATGCTCCAGCCATGCCCACCAGCTCTGTGCATCGCTGCCAAAGCGTTAGCAGGCTGAACGGAGAACAAGCGTCGGGTTATTGACAGTGGGTGAAGACCCAAATCATGGAAGGGATGAGTCAGGTTGTCTCTTTAGCTGGTGGAAGGGAGGGAGGCTCCGTGGCCGATGGGAGGACCCTTGATTTCCACAGCACTTCTGGAGCTGATTTGCCAGCGGAGGCGATTCCCGCAGAGGTGGCAGGTTGGTTGGCTGCAGGACTTCTAGAGAAGGTGCTGCACGGAGGCTTTGCCTCACTTACTGATTTTTTTGAAGGTCATCTCTTCACCTCGAGTCCTGCCTCGCCTCGGTCTCTTGTAACCATTTGGTGAGAGTCCTGGGTTTTTGGAGCAGAGGCCCCAGGTGTCCTGGGCAAGTTGGCTCTGAACTGACCCTCTTGTGAAGCCATGGGACAGAGCTGGAGGCAGGAATTTGCTTTGCTTGGGCTTAGTTTCTTCCCCATGGGCTCTTGCTGGTGCACCCCTGGTTACTGGCCCCGGGCAGGGCTGGGGGAAGCTCTGCTGCCTTCTCTCCTTCATCCCGTTTGGCTTGGTTGGAAGCAGAGAGAACCTGGTTGTAACTGGCTGTACAACGTCATCGTCTTTTTGCCCAGCCTCCATCCCTGGAAGCAGAGAGGTTTTAGCAAGAGCGTGGGCTGGCTGGTTTCTTCTTTTCTTTCCTTTAAGAACGCACAGCAGAATCTCCCGTGCCTTCTCCGAGCACTGCCTGCAGCACCGCCTGCCACGCGAGGGCCCAGTACTTTGCCAAGAAATAAGTGTTCCTTAAACGACAACACAAACCAAGTGTCTTTGTTTTGTTTCCAGCCCAGCACCGACTCGTCCCTTCCTTGGGGTGGGAGGAAGGAAGGAAGGAAGGACGAGCTCGCCCCATTCCTGCCCCAGGTAGCCGAGGAAGGGTCCTTCTCCCGGGTCTCCTGCCTCGGTGCTGGGGGTGAAGGCTGGGCTCCGTACACTGCCAACAGCAAGAAGAAATTGCCACCACTGCCCATCTCAATTGCAAATTCAGTGTCAAAGCCCCCCACGCGGATAAACCCATCGCTGCCCTCCCCGTCCCTTCTTCGCACGAGCTGAAAAAATACCTCGGGCAGGACCGGGGGGTTGGGGGGTGTTGTCTTGGGTTATACGCAAATGGTGACAGGAAGGACAAAAAGGGGTGGTTGTGGGGTTTGGTTCTGTACTAAAGGTGACATTGCTTAAAAGATCACTTTTTCTATTTTAAATACTTGCAAAAAAAAAAAAAAGAAACTATGGTGTTCTTACAAGCTTACATAAATATTTATTAAATACTTTGGGGGGGATACACCGATTTTTTCTTTTTTCTTTTGATATTTTTTTATTACCTCAGACCTGTTTAAAAAAAAGAAAAGACTTAAACCAACGAAAACCAACAAAAAGCCAACTTTGGAGGCTCTCAAAGTCACTCCCAGAAATCTGTGACTGGCAGGTTGCCACAAGGGTCTGGTTGTTCTTTAGTTGATATATTTTTTGTTGTTCTAGTTTCCATATTAGGAGGGGGAGAAATAATTATATATAAATATTATGCAAAAAAATATAGTTTTCTTTAGATCAGAAACTGATATTTTTACGTCAGCCATATGTATTTTGTTTAAAGAAAAAAAAATAAATCTTGAGTCCCGCGTCTGCGACGGCGCGTGACTATGTGACGGCAGTTCAAAGTGACAGGTGATTAATTCAGTGTATCAGCGATCGGATGCCAGTCAGCTTCCTTTTCTCTGAGCAGCCATCTTTATACTTAGATGTTAGTTGGATGACACAAATGGGGTTTTTTTTATATAAATTATGTTGGTATGGCTGGTTGCTTAAAGTATAAACGTTTATTGTGCATACATCTTTTCTGTAAAGTATTTTTTTTTTTCTATTTAGTTTCAGTGATATACTTGCAGCAGATGACTATTGGGTTAAGTTATTGAGGACATTACAAAAGAGTTGGGGGAGATTGGTGCTCTACGCTGAAAGGCATGATCGGCAGCACGAACTTCTGGGGACTCTCTGCAACATGCCTTGAAAGAGGGGGAGATATATATTTTATTTTTTTGCTTTGTTTGAACTGCCACGAGTGTGCACGGGGGAGAGTGCCATGCCAGACAGGAACCGAAGTCATACCCTGTGATACGTGTTAACTTGCCTTGGAATGCTTTGTTATTAAAACACTCTGAACATAATTTTGCATCCAGTTCTTAATAACAGTAGGGTCTCTGGTGGTGGTGGTGGTGGTTTTCTGTGAAATAAATTGGCGGATCGGTACCAAAGACATTACACCATGTCCTGTGTGCATTGCTGAACAGGCATTTTTAGGCATTTGCATTATGTGATAAGGTTTCCTTTGATTTGCACAGGGGTTATACTTAATTTTAAAAGTTTTGTGCAATAAGCTTTGAGGAAAATTTTGAAACAATCTCAAGAAGGAAAAAAACTAAACCAAATTTTAGCATGGGCAGCCTTTGGCTTTCCCCAGCCAAGGAGTAAATGTCCTGTAGTAGTCAGCCCCTTTAGAAATGCTTCTCGGGGTGATGTGACGTTGGGGTGAATGGAAAAGTCCCATCCCAGATCCAGGGAGGGCATCTCCAAGCTGCCATTGCCAACTCCTGTTGCCCTCCCTGACTGCAGGCACCAAGCACCTCCGAGAAGAGTCCCTGCAGGCTTTTGTACTTCTCAGGGGAAGGACGTGTGTACCTGCCTGCCATCGCTCCTCACCGCGGGGTCCAGCTCCTACAAGTTCATCAATCCGTGGAGAGCACAACCCGTAAAACGTCCCTCCTGCAAACCCAGCTTGCCCTGCCGGGGCACGGTGATGTTAGGGTGCTGGTCTCCTGCTCCTGCCCTAAACAGCGAGGCTGTGGGGCAACACCAGCGTGTTTCTGGGCACCTGGCTTGGTCCTCTCCAGCATCTCTGCCAAGG